TAGCCCAGGTTGCTCCAAGCCCTGTCCAACCTGACCTTGGACACTTCCAGGGATGGGGCAGCCACAGCTTCTCTGGGCAACCTGTGCCAGGGCCTGCCCACCCTCACTGGGAGGGATTTCTTCCTGATATCCAACCTAATCCTGCCCTCTTCCAGTTTAAAGCCACTCCCTCTTGTATCTCTTCCACCAGCCAGCAGTGAGCACACAAGGTGGGTGACAGGAAATATTATGAATAGATAATATCAATAAATGGATCAGCTGAATGGGAGCTCCTTGTGCCTCCAGCTGTGTGTGTCAAGAGGTGAGACCTCATCCCAAACTGCTGCTCCCACAGCACCTCAGCAACAAGAGAAGGGAATATCTACTATTCTCCCCTGCCTTCAGGGTCATGAAAACATGTTTTCTTCAGGCTTAAATTGCATGTGACAGAGCAAAGCCTAAGTCATCTAACTCCCAAAGCCTAACTCAAGTATTAATGCTGGCCCAAAATCCCACCTCCAAAACAGCCCCAGGTTTTTTTTAATCACCCAAGCCAAAGGAATTGTGAAAGAAAGGAAGCACAGCTATCACTGAGCCTAAAAAGCTTTGAGTTTCAGCAGCAAGGCCATAAACCAGGCATTTGGACACAGTGCCAAAGGCACCCCCTCACTGGTGACACGTCACTTCTGACACTGGGGGCCGACAGGATGACACAGCCCGGTGTTACACTTCCCCTAGTGTTTAAACCCCACCAGAATAAACAGAGCATTAAGTTAAAAATAAAGAAAAAAGTCACATAAAGGCTTAAGTTGTGGCCACTGAAGGGTTTCTGCTATTAAGGTGTCACCAAACAAGGTGGCTGTGGACAAGTGACCGCTGTGGGTGCGAGGTCACAGCTCTGCCCTAGGGAACAAGTGCAGCACAAACTCCACTGCAGACCACAAACACCACCTAAATAAACATGTTTTACAACTATTGCACAACAACAAACACTTCTGCCCAGCACATTTCAAACCACAGTGAGGTTTTGCCTTAACTGGTATTTGTGTTAGAAATGTAACAGGGGGGAATAAAAGGGAGGGGAAAAGTGGTTTATAAATTTCTGCAGGTATTAACTTCACATATAAGACTGTGGGAGCCCAAATAAATTATCAAAGATCCAAGAGAATAAATCACAGCCTTCTGCGGCTTTTCAGCCCCGTCAGCTGATTAAAGCATTGCATCTATTCATCTGTCCAAGGGACTTCTTCTGTGCCAAGCAGCTAAATAGGAACAGAAAGTAAGGTGGTCACGTGCAGTCACGTGGCAATACAGGGCTCCAGGGCTGGAATGCTGAGGATGGAGTGAGGGGATGAAGAGATCAGCAAGGAAACGCTCCGAAAATCCCCTAAATAAACCCCTGGGGAGGGGAAGGTAGGGAAGGAAGCACCACTCTGCAGGCAAGTGTTGGTTCTGAAGCATCTAAAGGCTGGACTGAATCCCTGGAGTTCACACAAGTGCTGCTGAGCTGCTCCCCTTGGACACACAGCTATTTGCTTCCCTTCAAGCTCTCCCTTCCCTGATTTTGTATTTCAGCTGTGGCTGGTAGTGGGGGGAGGAAGGTGATAATAGCTGAGAGTTTAATATTCCCACAACTTGCCAGGAAAACCCTCTCTCTGGGCTGTTTCCACCTCGGGTGCTGCTGCGCTAAGCAAGAAAAAAAATAATCACTATCAACAAAACAACTGAAAAAAAGTTATTCTTAGCTCAGTCCCCGAGCTGGTTAATAAACACTGAGCCTGCTGCGTAACATGACTCCCTCGGGACTGCCTGTCCTGGGAATAAACAGGCAAAGTACACACACCAGGCTCACAAAAGCTGAGTCACGCAGCTCTGCCTCTGGAAAATTTTTTTGGGAACAAAACTCTTCCACCTCCAGGAGAACAGTGTCCCCTCCTGAGGCTGGGGTGGTGTGGGAAGGGGTTAATCCCGATTCCTGAGCCCTCTCCTGACTCAGGGAAGAGGCTGGCTGGGTCTATATTTATGGAGTTACACACGAGGAGGAGAACTGGACCTGCAGCTCCGACACATGACCGTGACTCAGGAGCTCTGCTGCTGCTCCCGTGTGACCTTGGGGGGAACCTTCACACTCCCAGTCACTTCCCAGTAACACCAGCACAGCCACTGGGCTCCTGGGTGGGGAGAACTCCAGCACCACTGCACAAAGCTTTAATCCCTGGGGAGGAACGGGACAGCAAGGAAAACACTTCAGAACAACATGAGGGGTGTGCTGGGGCCACAGGCAGCCCTTGCATGTCCCAGAGAGTCCCAAAGGGCTTTTTTCTTGCCCAGTGTGAAGCTTGCAAAGAAATAATACCATATTTTTATGGTATCTTGCCCAAGTGGTTTGTATGTCATTATATCTCATATATCCCTGTACTAACAAATGGAAAAAAACACAGCTAAAAACCCACCAAAAGGGCCACCACACGTACTTTAAAA